ACTACTACTACTACTACTACTACTACTACTACTACTACTACTACTACTACTACAACTACTGCATCTGCTGCTGCTGTTGCTACAACTACTACCCACTGCACACTGTCTGTCGGATTCATTGAACTGATTCTGGCACAACCAGATGTTTATTCAAGGCTCTCAATTTGGCACAATACGAACAATTCTATCTATCACCCCTCCTATCTCATCATATGGAGATCAAACAGAACCACCAATTCTTCCCTGTGAAATAGAAAAGGCACTCAAGACCAGCCCCAAGAACAAAGCCCCAGGACCAGATGACATCACAGCGGAAGCCATAAGAGCTTGTGGAAACACCGGTATACTGTGGCCTAGGCGAATTTTCAACAGAGCCTGGGAACAAAGAAAATGCCCAGAAGACTGGCAGAAAGCCATAGTGGTACCATTATGGAAAAAAGGGCAACAAACGCGACTGCACGACATATAGAGGCATCTCATTGTTAAGCCACTCAGGAAAAATGTATGCAAAGATACTAGAGCAGCGCATAAGACCTATTGTAGAGAGAAATCTGAGCAAAGCTCGGTTTGGATTCCGAAATGGAAGAGGAAGCACGGATGCCGTATTTGCATTACGACAGCAAAACCCTTAACATCACAAGACGAGACAGGCAGAGAAATGAAGAAGTAAGAGCAGCTTTCGACACTGAGGATAAAATGGTTTGGCCACATGTTACGCATGTCACCTGACCAGCCAGCCTCGAGAGCCTACAACACCAAGCACTCAGGCTATAAAGGAAGAGGAAGGCCGCGCAAAAGGTGGATCGAGGGTGTCAAGAAAACCCTAAGAAAACATAGCATCACAGCTGAAAGAGCTGCGGAGCAGGCCTACCTTAGAAAACTGCATCTCCCTTCGACGCTTAACGGCAACAGAGGATGAAAAAGTAAAGGTGAAAGTAAGTAAGTACGAACAATTCGATTTACGACCTTGAAAAATAAACGCATTTAATTTTTAAGGCCTCGGTGGAATTTAGGTGAAATCGGTCATAAAATGGTATCATTTTTTCTATCCATGAAGGGAAATCTAGTTGGACCCGACTCAGTCTGATGAATACGACTGGCAGTGTGCAATTGGTACTTGATGAAATGGGAAATGGTAATTTAAAAAAAGGCCATAGCTCTCCATGTGTAGTAAATACGAAATTGTCTCAAAGCCAAGCTCTACTTCATGTTTGACTTTCAATTTCCCCATTTCAATGGCACTGACGTGTTGGTCGTAGAAAATGGTGTGGTTGCATTAGTTAGAGGTGTCTCTGTTAATTCCTCTGAGTTATCATGTTTGTTTGGTTTTTGTAAAGTGTTTTACGGCGCTCGCAACTGTAAAAGGTCATATGAGCGCGTGGGACACACTTAATATTTTCAGTTGGTAGGAAATTTTGAATTTTGCCCGGGTGGCAGCCGAAGCCTACTCTTATCGATTTTAGACCACCAAGAGATCTTTAACGTGCGCGACTTGCACACGGGCCCTCCGAGATTTTTTGCCCTTGTCCGAGAAGGCTTGGTGTAGATCTTTCCTACCAGAAGATCAGGGGTGTGGCAAAAAGACAGCAGTAAGGAGGAAAAAGAGCCAGGAGCCCAGAGGAGGGTGCAAAGGAGGTGAAGGGGTGGGGGCAGAAAGTGGAAATGAAAGCAGACGACAGAACATTGTTAGAGAGCAGGAAAGGAGGTGAAAGGAGACAATTTTAGAGAAGAAAATGTTTCGGTCGCTACCCGGATTCGAACCCGGGACCTTTGAATGAGAGGCCAACGCCTTAACCTCTAGGCCACGAGAGCCCCCGAGTTATCATGGTGGCTCTGAGTTCTGAGTGGGGTCATTAGTAGAAAACTGTCATGAATGAGTTGTATGTTTTTGCCTTTTTTCTACATTCAACAACAGCAACAAAACTATGGACAAATGCTGGATCTTTTTTTTTCGGTCTTCAATTCCGAGTTTGTAGTGTTGTGACAGGTAAAGCACCTGAAGAAATCGTTAAAGGCTGCGTTGGGCTGAGTGATCTCAAAAGATCCTGACAGGCGGAGTCCAGCGCTCTCCGAACGAACCTAGGAGGAAAAACAAGAAGAGTGAGAGAGTGGGTGAATGAGGGAATGAGTTAGGAAGAGAACAAGATCGTTGGTGAGCGATAAGTGATAAAATGTGTACATGGTCAGTGGGATATGTCCTCTTGAGCAAGATATGACAACCTTATCTTTAGTGTCCGGGTGCTGCACACTGGTGAGTAGAAATAGGTTGCTGAGTGTGATGGGGTAATGATATTGTGTGTTGTGTAACATTGATTGATTTTAAAGGAATTATCATATGTTTCTATCACACATATAAGCTGTATAATGATAAAACTTCTCTACCACCTTCCTAGATTTTAAAAGTATAATTGACATTGTCTCTTCTAAGGAGCGTACTTAGGAAGTCAAAATTCTAAAAATCTTTAATTGGTACTTCCTGCACACCTACCGGCGAAGCAAAGCTCTTGCATGAATAGAATCTACTGCTGTAAGATCGTCTGTCAACACACAAAATACAATACATTATGTGTATCCACATCGTATGCCTGTAGGCCGTTTTAAACCATTAAATTGTCAGATGGGGATAATCTAAATGAATTATTATTTCCTTCTTTTACTTTTTATCACAGGTAGATTATAGCGTATGACAAACGAAAGGGTCAACTATGTGAGAAATTTAACAGAGATGTTTGTCAAGAGATTTCTTTTGTTGTATGAAGAGGGGCGTGTTGGGGTGACTGAGTGAGAGGGAGAATGAGAGAGGGAATGTGTGAGTAGAAAAGAGTTGATAGAATGAAGTGTGATTGAGCAAGTGAGTGGCAGGATAAGTGATTGGAGTGTGAGTTAGAAAAAGTGTGGAGTGCAGGTAAGAAAAAGCTTTGAGTGAGACGATGAGCAGAAATAAGGGGGAGGAGGGGGAGTGGGTAGTGATTGAAGAAAATGTGAATGACGAAAGAAGGGTGTGGGTGAAAGGATGGATAAAGTGGCGAGGGAGGGGATGAGGGAGAGCTCGATTGAAGGGAGGGTCTGTTGGGGAACAGGTTTGGATGACTGAGGGATGCGTGTTTACCGATATGGTCAGCTGAGCGGCAGCAGTTAGCTTGACCGTGTTGTCCCCACCACAGTGGTAAGAGCTGCTAGTGTTCACGGGCTGTATCACCTCCGCTGTGGACATACATTTAAGGTGAAATACATTAGACGTAACAACAGGAAAGTTTGATGGAAAGAGAGGCAGAGGCAGGCAGAAGGAAAAGATACTGGACAAGATGACAACATGGCTGGGAGCAGCAAGAACAACAAACACCATTGCTGCAGCGCAGGACAGGGTGAAGCGGAGGTCCATGATCGCCCACGCAAGTCGGCAAGGCACCGGATGATGATGACATTAGACGTGACGGGCATTAGAAAGAACACACATTAGACGTCCTCCTCATCCACTTTGCCTCCTTTTCTGGGCTCCTGGCTCTTTCTGCAGTCTTTCTACTGTTACTCTAAGGTTCTTTCTTACTGTTGTCTTTCTGCCACACCCCGGATCTTATGGTAAGTAAAATCTTCACCTAGCCTTCTCAGATAAGGGCCAAAAATCTCGGAGGTCCCTTGTGCAAGTTTCGCACGTTAAAGATACCTTGTGGTCCAAAATCGATAAGAGTAGGCTTCAACAGCAATCTGGGCAAAATTCAAAATGCCATACCAACTGATAATGAAAATGTTTAATGTGTTAGCGCGCTCATTTGACCTTATGCAGTTGCGAGCGCCATAAAACACTTACGAAAAGAAACACTAAACGTGGCATACATTAACATAAATTGGAAAGAACATGGTATAGATGTGACATACATGAGACGTGGCATGCGTTAGACATGACATGCATTAGCTAGGACATTCACTGGACGTGGCATACATAGGCCAGGACATACATTACCGAGGGCATACAGACGTTCATTAGACGTGACATACATTCGATTTAGAAATGCCGAGTTTTATGCCTGACATGCATTGGGTATGACATAAATTAGACGAATCATAATATACATGACGTAAGTCTAACGTGACATGCTTTAGGTCTGAAGTGCATTAGACGTGACATAAATGAGACTTGTCAATTATCACTAGTATTGAAGGAATTTGTTCAAACTTAAATTAACGTACTGAAAATCATTACAAGAGGGAGGAAAGAATCTGCGTCTGTACCGTAAGGGTTAGGTTCTATAAAAAATAAAATTACAATAAATTACATTTTTATTGATCCCAGAAGGGCAATCAATTTTGTTTGCAATGGCACACACACACACACACACACACACACACACACACACACACACACAGACAAGCAGACGCACAGACACACGCACACACACACACACATACACACATACACACATACACACATACACACATACACACATACATACACACACATACACACATACACA